GACAGAGAGAGATGGATGGATGGATGGATGCATGGGTGGATGGATGGATGGGTGGGTGACATCACCATAAGGTAGAATTACACGGGGTGCCTTATGTGTACTATCACAGATCGCGGCGCCATAATTTCATCTATGATCCCTGAACAGGAAGTTTCGTATAATTAGCTCGGTCCCAAAAAATATGTATGCCCTGCTTTGTTCCCTTAAGAAAGGGTTTCCCGGACCCCAATTGTATATCCCTAGCCCTAGCCTCGTACTTTCAATATATGTAATGACCTATACCCCATCTTCCCAAAAAGCAGTGGCCATTTCAGCTTAGAGACTGGGAGAGGTTGTAAGGTGGATCTGCTAGTTCTTTCTTCGTCAAGAACTCAAAGTCCACGGACAGCTCCATCTCTTTCTGGTTTTCGGTTTTCACCGAAAACTTCTTAACGAAAAGATCCTGCCACCAAACTTAAGGGGTTTGGGCTTGCGTAATTAGGGGATCCGATATAACCCTTATATATAACCCTAAACTCACTAACACCCCCCTAAATTAATTTACATTCTACAGCATGCTGCAGTCCGTGTTGTAGTCCAGTTTCGCGAACAAGCGGATCACGGAGTTCTTGTCCTCTCGCCATTGGGTGCGGATTGCCTCTGAGACCTTAAATATGCCCTTAGAGTTAGGCTCCATCGCACGGGAAAGCCGCCGGGAGATAGCAGCCTCACTCAGGCCAGGGGGTGGTGCAGGATTCTTGCTTTTCGCTGCGGTTGGCATCATAGCCTTCGGTGCTGCTGTTGCTGGCAGGGCCTTTGGCTGGGCAGGAGATGTGGCAATGCTAGGAGTTTCGGGGAACAACTGGCGAGGCTGTGCATCTTGAGACCATGAGCAACCTCGTGATATCGGTTCTGCTGGTGTCACTGTACCGGACCCTGGACTTTGCTGGACTTGTAGTGATGCCTTGGCCTGTTGTTCTGCGATTGCCCGTGCCTCTTGTGCGTCCTGAAGATCCTTGGCCTGTTGTTCTGCGATTGCCCGTGCCTCTTGTGCTTTCTTGAGATCCTTGACTTGTTGTTCGGCGACTGCTCGTGCCTCTTGTGCTTCCTGGAGATCCTTGGCTCGTTGTTGTGCGATTGCTCGTGCCTCTTGTGCTTCCTTGAGTTCCTTGGCTCGTTGTTCTGCGAGTGCCCGTGCCTGTGTTTCCTGTAATTTCTGAGCTTGAAGCTCCGCTGCTGCCCGTGCCTCTTGTGCTTCCTTGAGATCCTTGGCTTGTTGTTCTGCGATTGCTCGTGCCTCTTGTGCTTCCTGGAGTTTCTGAGCTTCAAGCTCCGCTGCCGCCTTTGTGGCCTGTGCTTCCTTGAGATCCTTGGCTCGTTGTTCTGCGATCGCCCGTGCTTCGTGTGCTTCCTGGAGTTTCTGAGCTTCAAGCTCCGCTGCTGCCTTTGCCGCCTGTGCTTCTTTGAGATCCTTGGCTCGTTGCTCTGCGATTGCCCGTGCCGCCTGTGCATCCTGAAGTTTCTGGGCTTCAAGTTCAGCTGCTGCTTTTGCATCTTGCGCTTTTTTGAGCTCCTTGGCTTGTTGTTCTGCGACTGCACGTGCCCGTTGTGCTTCACGTTCTGCTGCTGCGTTTGCATCCTGGACTTCCTGGTGTTTCTGAGCTTCTGCCATTTCCTTTGCCGCCTGTGCTTTTTTGAGCTCTTGCTCTACGATTGCCTCTGCCTGTCTTTGTCTTAGCAGTTCCTGGGCTTCTTCTTCTATCTGAGTTTCTTCTTCTTGTGTCATTTGTCGATCTTCTCCTGTTAGGTCATTATAAGGTACACAACCATGCAAAGATATATACCCATATCCCGATTGATACCCTGAACCCTAAGTTAACTCTGACACCCTACATTCCCTACTTAAATAGAACCAACTAAGGCCACCTTGGCCGCTGTCATCGCCACGACGAGTGGCTTCTTCACGTGAACATTCGGCCTCTTGGGGAACAGCAAGGTTTAGGGTTTAGGGTTTATAGCCCTCCTAGAATTTAGGGTTCTACTTTGGCTAAGCAAAGATCGAACGATCAATTATCATGAATAAGTTCACAGAACTCGATCATGCTTTATCATAACCTTGGTCGACACGTGAGGTTGGGTTTGGCATCGATATAGTTTAGTTTAAATCTATATAGGAACTATATTTATGAATGTTATGGCCCCGGGCTTGCATCATTTGAATTAGCGCTTTGGCCTTCACGGATTTGGGATGGGGTGATATATGGGGCTCTTGCAAAGGCTGAAAGCTAAGGGGTTTCAGAGCTCCAGCATTGTACGGCTTGATGATATGAGGCTTGTCGGATTGTAGCGATCTTTCAGGCACAACGGGACTTGGCCTTTGGGTCCAGGACGTGGGAAAGGTTTATACGAGCAATGACCATTGGTATAGATTGGTGCAAATTAAGATGATGGCACCTGGTCTTAGATTCTGGATGGAGCTTAAGATGATGTTTATCCGTGCACGAGGACTCTACTGGTCCCGAATCACTTAAGCCCCGGACACCAGTCACAAGCCCAAGACCCCAACCGAGAACCCTAAACCCTAAACCCTAACCCTAAACCCAAAGAGTTAAACCCTAAACGGTTTCCGAGCTCAGGCCTCGATCTTGGCTGGGCATCGAGATGGATGTTCTTGGTCCTGACAGTGGGTTTGCTTAAGCAGGGACTTGAGGTTCAGTTTCTCGGGCTACAGGACATATCTAAGGAAATACTCTATATTATTCTATACTTTACAAGGCTTATAAAGTGGTCCTAAAACAATCCTAGCTTTTATGCAATTCGACAATGTCAACTCCTTTTGGGTTTTCTGCCGACCCCCAGAGGTCCCCGATTCAAAACATCAGAGTTGCAGATACTGATATTTTGCTTTCTGTACCTTTTGGGGTTGGAGCCACAATCAGCTAGGGGCTGGTACCTCGATCTAGCTAGATACAGAACTGCAGAAGACGAGTGCATGCTAGTGAATCCCAAGTGATCAGTCAATCCGATGGCCTGGTTCTTCTTCAGCTCCTTCATCTTTCGCTGCAGTTCCTGCCAGTGACTATGTAGGAAGTAGGATAGTCTGGAATTGTTCTCACATGAGGTGTCAGGAATGCTTTGCCATAACGTCAAACCCCATGGCCTCAATCTGCTGAAGAATGGCTTTCTCATCCTCCGGGGTCTCTTGCTTGATGACCCCGTGCTCTGCAATCCCATTGAGGATCGCCGCGCCACGACCTAAGGTTTCGGTTGATTGCCCGACGGTTCCCAAACTGTCAGACGAAGCCATCTTGAGAAAAGTGCCTGCGGGGGCCGGACGCCAAATAACGCAATTTGACGCCAATTAACGCAATTTGGACGCCGATTTCCGCCATTGTTTGGTCCCCCCTTTTTTGAGCTAATTTCGGTCTGCGAGATTCTACCGGCCCTTTATCATGGATTTGGGTCCGTGTCCTCCATGAATTGTAAGGAAGCAGGAAGCACACAGGCCGAGCCCCAGGAGCATGTACAGTAGTACAGCATGCGTGCAATTCGATCATATATGGCTTGAATTACATTCAAAACCCTGGGGCCCATCAAAATTTGAGCCTGTGTAAAGCTTCGGAATAAATCTTCGAACTCCTTAGGCGCTTCTAGCCCGGGCCCGCAGACTCAGATAAACACATATTTGGGAATGAGTTTTTTAAACTCAGGTGGAACAGTCACTGCCCGTGCTGTACGAAGATACAACACTACCTCCTCCAGCTCTGCCTCTTCCCAACGGTTGTCCCAGCTCAGGCTCTCAAAGAAGGCTGGAAGCGGCACGTCATTGTTTGGGTCATCCAGATCCACCTGTGCGAGGCCATAGGGTTTAGCTTAGTAAAGGGTTCAATTCGGGGATTTCTATGTGGGGGTGTTAAGCTGGAGATCGAAGCTGGTTTTGTGATGTACTCAAAGGACAGCTGATCGACAAGGGATAGATCCAGCCTATTGAAGATATATAGGCTTGCAATTCAGGGTGCACCGATAGTTTGCAGAGTTCCACTGTGTATGGGTTCTAATTCGTGATCCGAACTTTATCTCAAAACTTGTCCGTCAATTAGCTAGGATGCTGAGGTTTATATTGGTTAATATATGGGTTTAATCTCATGAATTTCGGACCTAGCAATCTGGACTTTGCAAGCTCTGATTAGGGATTTCGGGAACTCTAGTTTTGCTCCAGGGCTTGGGAGGTGGGGCTCTCTGTGGGCTTGATGTTCTGGGGGCTCCAGAGCACTCTAGAGGGTTTGAGTTTCGGGAGATACAAGTGTATATTTGGCATTCCATAGGAAACCTAAAGCGTGCTTATAAGGGGAGCTGGGTAGTTTACAGGAGCAAGGTATCGACACGAATTTGTTGTTATAACGGGGTTGGGGTCCCTAGCTTCAAATATACTAGGGTTTCCTATATTCGTGCAAACATCGGACGAATGGACCCCCCTATCCAAATCAAGGATCTTGCCTCAACATCAGGGAGTCCCATTTGACGACATGGTTCGATCAGCTCCACCATCCTTCGTGCGAAGGCTGCCGGGTAGATCCTAAGATCGAATTGAGGCAGCATATCAGTGGGATTAATAATATGCAGATGATGATCAGTTCAACATAGGCATCAACCAAGCAGCCCGGTTGACTTCAATTTCTTTGTGCCATGAAATGTCTTGCGACCACGTCGATCCACACCTCTTTGGGATGTCTTGTAGGTGGCTCGCCTCATCTCCCCGACCAGCTTCCCCATATCTAAAAATCGAACAAGTGGCGAGGTCGACCACATAATCGATCTTTTCGGATTTGGATGTCCCCAATGTTTCATCCAGAATCGTTGGACATATACCTCGGGGTTGGGCAGGGCAGGGGTGGCCAATAGAAGGTTTACAGCGTTCTTTAGTGCTAATTGATGCAATAATATCCATTAGACTAGGGGCTGGCACATTGCCGTTCCGGAGGGCCTTCAGCAACCATTGAAATCGTGGGAAGTAACCAATCACGGAGGTCCCAGGGTTCTCAACGAAGAAGTTGTGCCCAAGGCAAACCAGAAGAGCCAAGATAAGTATCGCCCTGCACAGTATTTTAGGGTTTAGGGTTTAGGGTTTATAGCCCTTAAATTATTTATAGCCCTTAAATTAAAATAATTCCGCCCTCATGATACGGTTTATAGGGTTATATACAGTATGCAACGATCATTTAAAGACTTATAAAAGCCCAGTATCATGTACAACTACATCTGGCCTCGTTGTTGCCATATTAGCTTGCTCAACGCTCGGCAAATTTGTGTCACCTAAAGGATTCAGCTCATCGCGTTTCGATGTGCCCTTGTTCATCGAAACAAAGGTTGAACATTCAATGCCCACGACAGCTATGGCCCCCTCGGGTGATCCGGCCAAAGCCATCAGAACTGCCAGCCTTGGTTTCCCAACCCGTTCGCATCACCACTCTAGATAGAGAATTGTATCAGGCACCATGCAACATTGAATGCTGATCAAGTTGCACAAACCCTGCATTGCCGTTCAGATGCAGAGCTGAGCCGTTGTCCGGGTGAGGATCATACCCCTGATCAGCTGCAATGGCCTTGTAACCACATGCTTGCGCAATGCGTGTTATCCTCGCTCGGCCAGCGAAGAGCTCAATTGAGTCGAAGGGAACCGTGCTGAAGGGAGGCTTTGGGTGCATCCAGTAGGCCAACAGAATAATCGTAATGAAGCCCTCGGCAAATCATGGGTATATGTTCACACACCAGTCATGCAAAATGACACATGTTGGCACATACTTAGCTGCAACTCAGTAACCTTGGGCACACCGAGAAAAGCTAGCTTTCGTATGCAGGAGTCCAATTGCTGTGGCGACACCATTGCAGAGGCGAGGTCGGGTGCGAAATAGCAAAAGGCTTGCACCCTTAGCTCGGGCATATGCTGCAGCGGTCCTTCAGTGCATCCAGTTTTCCTTTGCACAACCTGTAAACCTGACCGAACCTAGCTTCGATAATGCAATTCACCAGTGGGGTTGCTGGCAGGTCAACACGTGGAGCCAGGACGGTGTCTCCACTCCGGGCCTTGGCAATGAGATTTGCAACGAAGCACAGAACAACGGCATATGCATGCAAGATTAACAGCTTTCGTTCTGAAGAGTTGCGCTTATCACCGAATGCAGCCAGCTATGTCCACAGGGATACCATGGCAGGAGACCGAGGCTATTGAAGGTTACAGCAAGAGTGTATCGTGACCCTAAACCCTTGTAAACCCTAAACCCTAAGCCCAGGATCCGGTATTGATTGAAAAGAACTTCGCATCTGAATCCAGATTCGAGTCAATAGCCGAAGCCTCTTGCAGCATGCACTGTGCTGACTGTACGACATGCACTGAAGCTGGACTGCACGACATGCACTGAAGCTGGGCGCACCATCATCCAAGGTTCCTGGCAAGGAACCACGACGGGCCAGAAAGGCCTGGCCCCTTTTCATCCTCCAACCTCGGAGCACAAGGGAATTCTGGGGCAGCATCTTTATAGAATGCAACTACGATCTTTCATGTGCAAGGCATGAGGCATGACGAAGACAATCTTTTCGAGCCTGCACTTCACTCCGATCAGATATCCCCAGCAGGCCAGCACAGTCATGCTGGAACATGAGATTGCATTCAATTTCGCACAACAGCACCCCGAACCGAACATAAGAAGTTCGAGGATCTATGCCTGTGCGCAAGATGTTTAAATGTGCAACTATAACGGCATCTTTCTTGCCCCAAAAACAGAACAGCATCTATAGATCGATCTGTTCATTACCCAGTGTCTCCTTTGGAGTCATCATCAGCAGGTATACTCACGTGCAGCCTTCAGCGTGATCTTGCGGTACGTCTCCATGCTGCTCTTCTTCGGCAACTTGGACTTGACACTCATCCAAAACTGATCCTGCCGAAGAGTAGAGGGATGGATCGCTTACTGTAGGGTATTAGGGTTTAGGGTTTAGGGTTTGGGGCTTAGGGTTAGGGTTTATATGGGGTGTATATAATCAGGTATAACCCCAATTATTTAATATAAACCCCAACCCTAAAGCCCTAAACCCTAAACCCCAAACCCTAAACCCCAAACCCCTAAACCCTAAACGAGGTTATAGGTTTTACAAATGCCGATAGATATACAAGTTCCTGGTGGGAGGCCCCAAAGCGCACTTCGAGGTGAGCACGATAGGCATCGCGGATGGCAAGCCACTGGTTGAGCGAGTCTTCGGATGTCGGGCGGGCTCTCCTAGCAAAGCTTTTCTCGTCCTCCGAATGCCGCTTTCTTTTGCGACCCTCTCCATCTGGCTCCTGGTTCTCCTCCTGCTCCTCCACTGGCTCATGCTCCTTCGGTGCACCCGACTTCGCCTTTGCTTTTGCCTTGGCCTTCGTTTTGGCCGATGCTTTCGCGGCCGGAGCCTTTTTGGGGCTTGCCTTGGCCTTGGGGGCCTTCTTGGGGGAAGCTTTTGGGCCCTTTGCGGGGGAGGCTTTCTTCCCAGTCTCCGTCTTGTCGGCTTTGGTCTTCTTTGTTGGGGCTTCTGATTTCGGGGGGGTCTCCAGCTCATCTCCTTCATCTTCACCATCAGCCGCCAGAGTCTTTGAAGACTTAGCTTTCGGACTTGGGGTCTCAGGACCTTCCTGACCCCTGCCACGACCGCGACCGCGGCCACGGCCGCGGCCACGGCCACGGCCCCGAGTCTTGGGGCGTCCCGGCTTTTTCTTTCCACCCATTTCCTCTTCGGCTAGCACTCTCTCAGCTTGCTCCAACCGGCAGGGGTTGCCCTGGCCAACAAAAAAACACAAGGGATCTGAGTAAACCAACCTATCTGGGATATTTTGGGGTTTAGGGTTCAGGGCTTAAGGTTTAGACTAAGTTATTATATTAAGGTATGGTAGCATGAGCCTGGAAGTTGGCAACATCAAAGGCATCGTCATCCTCATCACCTTCGGCCTCGTTGGGGGCCATACCAGCTGCATCTCTGGCCGATGTGCTGGGCTCCTTTTCAGCTTCTGGCACTTCAGCAGCATCAGTGATGGCTTCGGGGCTTCGAGTTGGAGCTTCAGGTGCGCTAATGATGTTCTCAGCCGGGTCCGTCTTGTCATTCTCGGCAGACTCATCTAGATCACTGACCTTTGGCAAATCACTGGGGCTGTAGGGCCGGGTGCCATTATCATCAGCTTCTTCCAATTCACTCTCATCATCACTGATAACCTGAATTTGGAAGAGGGAGATATCCATGATGTCAGGCGCTGCCATGATATTGTGGGGCACGGTGTCGACATTGTTGAAATCTCGGATGGCAAGCCACATCATCAATATATCATACTAAAGTATACTCTACACACTGACTCGAATCGCATGCATTATATGCAATGAAGCAGCCACCCAAGCGTCGACCTCGGCGCTCATCCAAGTCCCTCCTCAGTTCACACCAGAAAACTTCCCAGACCAAGAGAGTTCATCAGAGTGCACAAGTTTAACATGATTTATGCACACACACACACACATCTCCTATAAACGTGTGAAGCCCGAGCTTCTGAAGCTCCAGGATTCGTTGGTTCAGATATTCTTCTGCTGCTGCTGCAGATGTTGGTGGCGTATCATGATGCTCGGCTGCATCTCCAGACCTGCCGGTGTCCTCGCAGACCTCGAAAATATCACCAATCCCCCCAGCTTCGGCCCCGGCCGTCAGGACATCATCATGCCCATCCTCAGCTGTAGCATCATCACCATTCATCATTGCCGAGTCCTCGGCACTGGCACCCTCGGCACCACCATCATCATCAGCTCCATCGTAGCCGTCCTCAGCAGCTTCACCCCAAGCCTCTGTCATGACATCGAAGAGAGCATGCAGGCTTCGGTCCTGAGCTCGAATCTTGAAAAATCGACACAATAATATGCGATGTAACAAGCTGGACAGACTGGTGCCGGGGATCTCTGCAAGCTGCAATCGGAGCCTTCCATCGCCTCATTGCCAAGCTAGACAGTCGCTTGACACCCCAGGCGTCCACGTAGACCGCCACTGAGCGGCTCGTAACACCGGGTTGGAGCAAGTTGTGGAGGGCCAAAACCTGAAGCAGGGGAATTATCTTTTTAGGAGCTTGAGAGGGTTCAGGCCCGGGGCATATAGGGGTTAAGGATGTTAAGGGCTTTGAGGTTTTGTAGGGTGGCATCATAGTAAGCACTTCTTGAGCTAGAGAGTGGATTGCAAAAGCTAGCCTCCTGCTTTAACCAATCGATTGCCATCGTCTTGGGAGTCTCAGAGTTCCCACACCACACAGCAAGAGCGATCTGCACCACCGGAACATTCAGAGCAAGTGCTCTGAGACTTGTTGCACCAACCAGTTCTGCACTCGGCCACTTAGTAAGATGCGCTTTGTTGTCTCGAAACAGCTGTCTGATTTCGATGGATTGTTCCCACGCCGTAGCTAAGGCACCCTGTGCAGGCCATTGCTGAGCCGCCTGGCGCCTCACACGCAATGTAGGTCCTGTGACTTCAGGTTCAGGATCGGCCATGGCTGGGTTCCTCAGTCCCTGCACGCCTTAAAATTCGTGTATACCTGAGCCCCCTTCGGATCAGAATAGGTTCGGAAAGTAGAGGCGTGCAAGCAATACAAGCGATAGCTCGGCACATCTTCAACTCAAAAAGGTGTGCAAGCCTGAGCCTAGGGCAGATGAGGCCTTGCCCTGTTGCACCACAGAGGCCTGTAGGATATGGGCAGAAACCACCATAGAATTGAACAAACCGGAAGCACTGAAGTGGCCTCTTGTCCAAAATCGACGTGTCGAAGGCCTAAGCGAAGCCAATTGCAAAAGACATTTCGAAATCTGTCGGCAATCCAGGCCCCAAGCCCAGCTCGATCACGGAAACAAATGAAGATGCTGAAGAAGTAGAAGATCCACAGCCTCCGGATCTACATACTTATAAGCACACCCACCATTCTCAAGGACCGCGCCTCCAGCCTGCCATTCGAGAAAATCCTCCGAGGCAAGACATCAAAAGGGAGTTATCATCATGCATCAATATGCAAGCTAGCCCTATGGTGAAGGATACCCAAGCCCAAACAGGCCTTCACTGAATCACCATGGTGTTGAAAACCAAGACCTGCGACAGTTCATACACAAGCCATAGGCAAGCTAACTGTTAATGAGCAGACCGTGCGCACTGGCTAGATTTTCCCCTCGAGCCCCGCATGGTGCCATACAGTCTTCCATTGAAAGAGCAACTGTACTGTATGTTGTCCAACGGCACATCCGGAGTCCCTGCCGCCACAGATCCTCCATAAAACCCCATGTCATAGCTCATCATGGATCAATGCATCATACGGCAGGTGGCCGGCTGTCGAACACCAGCTTGCCTGCAGCAGCCGAAAAAGCGAAGTGCGATCATGCAAGACCCCTATAACTCATGTCTCGCCTCCACTGGACAATATGTCCATGAAATGTTTGCAGATGCCGTTGTGCTTGATATTCATGATAATATCATGGAGCATCTTGTCGGGGTGCGGTGCCTGAAAAATAGATGCAACATATATTGATATCGAATGCACATGCTGCTCTGATATATCGTTCAGACAGGGTGCCTCTCCAGAATAAAGAGCCTCCGCAGAAGCATTCCAGAAAGAATCCGGCATCTGGATAAGTCCTCCGGAGATGAATTTGGGAGCATTCTTGGGTTGCCTATGTGACTTCATCCACAATAATGTCCTGCTTGATAAGCTAGGGTCAGGCTCTCGAGAGAGCACGAGACCAACATGTTGGCTGCCATCGTCGAAACAAGAATGACACTAAAGAACTTGAGCACTCGAATCGATCAGCGATCAGCGGCAGAATTCTGCTGAAAGCATGCAGCAGTACTTGATGCACATGCTCCTGATGCCAGCAAGGGGGGGGCGCACCTTTGGTCGAAGCAAGGCCCAAAAGGGCCCACACATTCAGATGCTCAACAGCTGCACGTGCGGTCGTGCAGTCACCCCACCCCACCCTAGAGTAAGTATATGCAGTAAATAGATCACATATATGTACCCAAATAAACCCCCTAAATCCTCATAGATGAGCGATCTTATACTGCTCTCGTCCGGATAAGAACTATATAAAGAACACCCCCCCAAAGCCAAAAAACGTAATAAAGCCAATTAGCGCTATATTACGCTTTTTTGGGTCTTAAGGACTATAACCATTTTTTCCCAAACCACCTATAATTCGGATAGGCTAAGGTTGTCCAGGTACTCACATACATACATACATACATACATGCATACATACATACATACATACATACATTACATACATACATACATACATACATACATACATAAATACATAAATATATAAAACTGAAAATAGCTTTTTTGTGTTGT